CTGTAGCAGAAAATCACTGAGTAATTCACACTCAAATTGTTCCTGCAGTATTTACAATATACTTCAATACAGAATACTTGAAATGTTTAGTTCTTTGCTTCCAAAATGGAACATAACCTTCTCATGTTTTCTGGAGAGATTTCAAGGCATGTATTTTCTCTTTCTACCTTTCTATTTTTAGCAAAAGGCCCCAGACTGTTAGGGGTTGGCAAAGACAGTAGTCCACGGGAGGCAAGGCTGCAGCAGCTCCATGTCCCCAGCTCCAGTCAGTAGAGAGGCTGGGCTGCATTCCCAATAGACACACATGCAAACATATATATGCAATACATATATACATGGTGGTCCACACAGATGTACGTGGACAAAACACTCAGCGCTCACATGACCACAAACAACAGTGGCGGCCTCATTTTGTTCCCCTCTCTAGGCAATCAGGACGAATGTCCGCTAGTGGGAAAAATATGCATATAAACAATGTTGATGCCTCCAATAACTGGCCTTAGATTTTGTTTATCCTGTAACTGGCACTGGCTGACCTGGACCTTCCAGTTACCTCGCACACACACATACTGCTGATCCCCAGCAACTGGCCTTAGACACTACCAGTACCTGGACCCTGAATCCTCTCATCTCCAGTTGTCTCAAACAAGCCTTCTGGCTGACCTGTGGACTTAAGGCTGATTTGAAAGATGTCTCCCAGGCCACTTATCCTACTCACTGGCTAGTCCAGCTTGATATTCACTAGCTGTTACACACTGGTATATGGACTGACACATGCATGCATTCTGGTCTCTCCAGCTGCTGGCACCTTAGGCTCAGGGATCCCTCTGTCACAAGGTCCCTACTTCAGTAGTACTGGTACTTAGAACTCCATACACAAACATGCACACGGCAGAGTCCCGTCACCTGGGAAAATAATTAGAAATAGAGTTTAATGAGAAGATAGGACAGACTGCAGTGACCAGGCATGGTCAGACAAACATCATGGTCTGACAAGCCACCCATTTCCATGTCACTGTCCCCTTTTAGCCCCTGCTCTATTGTCCCAAGCGTGTTCCTCCTCAAACCACCTTGATCCCTGTGGTGGGTTGACCTTTGCTGGCTGCCAGGTGCCTGCCCAGCCACAGGATACAGTCCTTCCAGAACTGCTGCAATGTGGGTCTTTCCCATGGGCTGCAGTTCCTCAAGAACTGCTCCAGCATGGGTCCTTGCCACAGGGTACAGTCCTTCAGGAACGGACTACTTCAGCGTGTGTCCCCCATGGGGTCACAGGCGCTGCCAGAAATCCTGCTCCTCTGTGGGCTCCTCTCCACAGGCCGCAGCTCCTGCCAGGATCCTGCTCCGGCGTGGGTTCTCCATGGGCTGCACCCTCCTTCAGGGCACATCCCCCAGCTCTGGCGTGGGGACCTCCCTGGGCTGCAGGTGGAGATCTGCTCTACTGTGGACATCCATGGGCTGGCAGGGAATCTCTGCTCTGGTGCCTGGAGCACCTCCTCCCCTCCTTCTGCACTGATCTTGGTGTCTGCAGAGCTCTCTCACACATTTTTTTCACTCTTCTCTCACAGCTGCTGTGCAGCATTTTTTACCCTTTCTTAAATATGTTATCACAGAGATGCCACCAGCATCCCTGATAGACTCAGCTTTGGCCAGTGATGGGGCTGTTCTGAAGCCAGCTGGAGCCAATTGTGTGGGGCAGCTCCTGAACTCTCCTTGCAGCAGACACCCCTTGCAGTCCCCTGCTACCAAAAGCTTGCCGCATAAACCCTGTACAATCCCCTTCTGTAGACTCCTCCTGACAGGTGTCACAGCCAGGACACAGGGTGGACGGCTCCCCTGTCACAGCCCTGGAGCAGGGGCTCCTGCCTCCGATGAGCTTACTGTGATCTCCCCACCGCTCTGCCTCTGGACTCCCCTGTGCTCCTGGGCACAAGCCCTCCATCACACAACCTCACCCAAACTCTAACTATATAACCCTACTAACCAAACAGAGAAAATTAGAAAGCTGTCAGTCACGGGGAACTGCTGAATGCTATGTAGTAACTTCTGGCAACTTCAAGCAGTGCTTCGAAAATTCTTGTTTGTGCTAATTAGCTGTGACCAGCTCTGCTAAAACAAACAGATCTGTCAGGTAAACATTATTCAGGGCTGTAGATCAAACAAAAGTTATATATTAATGGAATGTCTAACTATTGTCCAGTTTTTATTTCAACATTTCTAATATACCAAAGCTTTCTATGATAGTCATGAAAAGTTATCATAGAAGCAATCCTAGTATTTTAACACATTCTTGCTGAATCTTGTGAAAAGGAAAGAAATTAACAGCAAATTTTCAAATTTTTACAGTTCAATTATATACTAAAGCCAGTTTCTGGGCTGTAAATGCTGGATGAAAGGCGCAGCAGCCGGATGACTCAGACACCTACTGTAAAACAACTGTGCAGTTCAAAATCATTGAGAAAGTTTAGTCGGCTTAAGTTTCTGCCAGTAGACATCATGCTGGATGATACAAGGTTTGTCCAGGTCAGCAGTTTTACTTCATGACCCTTTCACCTCTTCTCCAGTTTCTTGTTTCTTCACTTCTGAGATCGCTATACCAGGATGTCCTCAAGTCCCTTTAATTGCAAACTCGGTGCCTGTGCTTTCACCATGTCCTTGGACAGTCACCACCAGCCATACATCTGGTAACAGGGAGGTCGTCCCTTCACCTCGGTATTTGGTAACAGCATTGCCAGATAGGTTATTTCTAAACATTCCAGAATCTCTCTCTCCATGTGTTCTGTTATGCAAAAGGTGTACTAACAACTGCATCACGCTACTCTATTTTGAGAAAATTTCACACAGTGAATCATAAAACACATGTCAGTTCATATCCACCTACAATAATACAAATACCAGCCTGTAAAGAAAAATTGAATGATATGGTATACATATAAGTAACATCTAGATTTTGAACTACAAGTTAGTGTAGCTATAGATTCCCAAATATTAAAAATGTTTAATGAAGAGATAAATATGAAATATTACAGTATTATGGACATCTCATAATTGTAAATTGCTCTGAAACTACAAAAAGATTAAAATGGCTTTATTTTTAGCTACTGTACTTCATCAGCAAATCAAAGTATTTATTTTAATATTAAATTTATTTACTTTCTGCCACATCCAGGACTTTCAGTATCAAAACGGAGAGGCTTAACTGGTAATCTTTCATGCCCTTTCTACTATCAACTTTGTAAACAGGCACACCTTAAGTCTGATATTTTTTCACTCTTACTACTTTGTTTAGATAAAAAGGCTACATTTTTGTGCAACATGTCTTAGAGAAGAGCTCTGAGCAAAGCCCTCAGAAAGACAGCAGAAAAGTAAATAGTGAAAAAACCTCAGCAAATTACTCCTAGCAACAGCAACAATTCTAACAATCCAGGTTTTCAGAAGCAGACTCTAGCAAATAATAGCACCTTCACTATGTTTACTGGCAAAAAAATGTATTGGAAATCTTGGGCTCAAACTAGAAGAAAGAATGGTTCTTTTGATCATTTGTATGCAATGCATGCAAAATAAGACTGATTTGTCCTGTGAAATTTAGATGCTAAAGGTCTCATGTAGCTAGTGGTAAAATGTCATTTCCAAATTACCTTTTTTTTTTAAAACACAAAGCAATTATTTGAGATCTCATCATAATAGTGCAATATGAATTAACTAATGGACTGCTCTAGAAGTCAGTAATTATGACTCCATTTCTTTCCATATGTGCAAACAATTTCATGCGTCCTTGTTTCAATGAAGTTATATTTTCTTAAGAGATATTTTCTTGAGAGGAGTAACCTGAAAATCTCAGACAAAAAAAAATCACACAGAAAACGTAAATAAAGACTGGATGCTATTTTAAATTAAGTTTAGTATAATTCAAGAATCAGGAATGAGGGAAAATTGAGGATGTTAAAAATCAAGCAAACAAAAAGATTCAGTGATGAAATGAAAACATCAGTTAAAAACAGAAATATAGAATACGCATGGGAGAAGAGAAAATATTTAGCAAAAATCAAGATAAATGAGAAGCTATGAAGTATAAAAAGCTGTTAGGTAAATCTAAAACACTAAGTAAAAACTTACGGTGAGAGGCCAGATACCTACTAAAGTTACAGCATGTGAGGGACAAAACAAATCTTATCAATACCACAGGCCCATCAGTAGATATAAACACACAGATGCAAAGAATATTAACAATAATACAGTTCAGCACATATTTCTGTTCTGTTTCCTAAGAGGTTATTTATTAAATTCCCTCTAACTTACTACCTACTGAAGAAAAGGTTTAGCAATGTCTAGGCTGTACTAGCTTCATGAAATACTAGATCAGAACAGCTTGTACCTGTGATGCCTGAACATGGATAAGATGTTAATCTTTAATTGATCTTAGAGCACTGACAAAAATACAGAAGAATGGAAGTAGCTAACATTAGGATTGCTGTATGTGTGGACTGCGGCAATAGTAAACTAACTTACTCATTATCAATATATTAATGTTCACTGTTACTATCCAAAATGAAAAATAAAAGCTGCCTGAATAACACCAGAATAAACATACACTGTGCCATCTGGAAGCAGATACAATCAGTATGGTATCCATTAGGTATGGCTTTACAAACAGTTTATTTTAAGACAGGAAAACACATCAAGAATGGTGGAACAGCCACAATTTGCAAAGAATCGTGGTATAGGAGTCTTCAGGAAGCAAGCTAAAACTGTCCAAGACTAATGTTACAAAGAAGGAACAAAGATACTAAAATAAAATTAAAAACTGTTATACCAGTCTGTGATTATAGACTAATTTGGATGTTTTCCGTTACTACTTGAACATGTTACAAATCCTGTGTCTGCAACACACATATATGTGTACATATATGTGCACACATGTAAGGCATTCATAACCTAGCTGACACTCTTGCATTTCTTAGGTCAGTTATTCTCATCGAAGCAAACCTTCAAATCATACTTACCCCAGTATACGGTTCATTCCATGCCTAGCAGCATAATGGAGCGGAGTATTGTGCTGGTACGTTTCTCCGTAAGAAGTATTTGGGTCAAGAGTTTCTTTTAGTTGAGGGTTGCTCTCATAGATTTGGCAGGCCAGGTTTTCATCTCCATTTATAAGAGCTTTGCGGAATTTGGTGGTTGTATTTCCCATGTTGCTATCCTAACTATCAATGGCACTTTTTCCTTTCCCCTTCATCCACTTGTATAGTTCTGTAACATGTTTCACAGCCTAAAAAGACAAACAATATTTCAGTTATTCTGTAAAACACTCATTCCTAGATGAATTCACCCAGAGCTACAGCACTGTAAGCAGGTATGTGAAGCAGTACATAGGGCCTGTAAACGCTACTCATGAATTGCTGTCTAGGTAAATAAACACAAGTTCCCAGTTCTTCATAGATTATTTCCTTGATAAGTTGGGCCATCTCCCTGTGAAAATATCTTCACTACCTATAGTCTTTGAACATACAGAAAAGAAAAAAAAAGGCTAATATCCACCTGTATTAGAAGACAGGGGTGAACACTGAATTTCCATGAAGAAGTGAATTAGAAATTAGAAGTTATTTCAAAACACAGCAGAACCAAAGCAAAATTCTTAAACAAGGAGGTAAGATTCCTCAAAAGCATGCAAGAAAGCAGACATCACTTTAACTTTTACTTAAAGAACATCATGTAAAAATGTGCTTGAAGTACCTGCGCTTCCGTAGGTGGGTGCACCAGCTAGATAAATGGACATGAACACAGGAATTACCATGGCCCCATCTTAACAGTTCTGCTAAGTAGACTCTTTTAAATACGCAACCCCGTTTTTAAAATGACACCTAGAGATCGACAACAACTGGGTCCATACAGTGCCAGGCATTATACTGGCACAAACCAACGGCACCCTACAAGTACTTCAAAGTACTTTGCAGTTCCCCAGCCTCTCACCTTTATCTCACGGAGGGGACCAGCAGATCAAGTTGCATAAAGATAGGGCAGACAGAGCATCTCCGCTCATGAGATGGGACAAGAGAAGCTTATCAGGTTGTGCAGTTGGAAAGAGCGCATGTTGGTTTATGTCAGAGGGACAGACAGGGGACTCAGCACCAGGCTGCAGCTGGCAGCACAGTGAACCTTCTAGGAGGTCTCTTTTGTGCATGAGTCATCCCATCCAGACTGCTCCATGCCATACCTTTCACCCCACAAAGCACACACTGGGATCCAAATATACCAGGCACAGCAGGCTAGGAAATTGAGATATATTATGTTGGGCACATATAATCAGGCAGGGCAGGAGCTGCTTCATGCCCAGTACCTTACATTCAACTTCTTCGGACTATCTCAAAACTTCTGTTTCTACATTGACTTTCCAGCACAGTTATTGGTGCCCAGACAGCCTTATAGACAGAAGAAACAGAGGAAACCGCAGAAAAGCTGCAGAAAATCCAAGGGAATCAGGATGTGGATGCAATTCATGTGAAAAGGATTTGGGGAAACCTGGGAAGAGCTGCAGTGAGATATTTTTGTTTCCCCAGACTAGTCCTCTCACAAGGTGCTTTAAGCTACTGTTGCGAACTTACATGTCATGTTGCATCCCGGTCTTACTATAGCTTTGCTCTGATCCCATTCTGCATGAGATCCTACCATCAGGAGCCTTGCACTGTCTCCTCTCTGCAGTTCCTCTGAGAGGTCATTTCGTGAAGCAGAGGGAAAAGATCACTTTCATCCTAATCTCACCAGTGCTGTCAGGGCCATGCAAGAATGAGGGCGGTGGCCTTGCTGGCCTCCATTTTCATCTCTTTTTCCTACAAAACCTTGGTGAGGCAACCCTTATTCTGGAGTTCTTGTGTCCTACCTTTTGATGTCATTATGTGAGATAACAATGACACTGCCAAATCAGCTGACTCAACATGCTAAACATGTTACCCATGTTCTCCTCTGTGACCAGTTACCTAACAAGCAACTGCATTAAGCAGCTGGAAGTTTCTCATAATAATAATAAAGTAAGCATTCATCTAAAAGCAAATGTACACCCTTCATATATTTAGTTATATACACAAACCAAAGCCCAGATTCTTCAGTCACACTAAAGATTCTGCAGCATTTTGTATCCTTCTGTCATCTCTGTATTTTAAAATATAAACATGCAGATACTATGCAGATACAATATTTATATTCTTCAAAAACGCCACTGCATGTTCACATTACCATGTCATAGTTCTCAGTGCTGTAGATTAACATGTTTTCAGATGCAGAAACAGCTGCATTACTCTAAATACTGGATAGCTTCAGGCTTTAATGAAAGATTGTACAAAACCAAGAAAACTTGACACTCTTTTCAATCAGCCAGCAGTTCATATTACCTTCAACAGCTAGGATCTCAAAAATAACTTGAAAGAATGATTTTCAGTAAAGTTGGTTAACGAGATTAGTTTGTGGTATTATCTGTCAATCTCTATCCACCACCAATAGCCCTTGAGACTATAAACTACCTTAGACAAGTGCCTAAAAGATACCACATTCCTATAATCTTCATGAAAATCAATAATGAAGATCCCACTAGTGCCCATAACAAAAGAAAAGCACAAAACCTTCTGCCATCATTTGAAATTAGAAGGTAACAACACCAATTGCCATGCACTTATTTCTGGAAATTAGCACATGGATAGCTTGTGTCAGCTGCAGAACATGCTGCCTCTTGTCCAAAACTGGAACGTTAAACAAACCTGGGTAGGCATGAGAGGATGTTGAGAGTATAAGGAGATAAGATGGTGCCCTCAGGCAGTCTGAGAGGAAGCTGGGGCAGGGTGGTCCTGTCGAGATGTTGAAGACGAGATCTGAATGGATTTAGGCAGGGGTCTAGAAATGCATGGGAGAACTGAGGGTCTGTGTAGGGTGGCTCTACAGAACTAAAAAGTTCAAGTTACTGCAGTGCAGAAAAGGCAAAAATTGTAAATTTCATTAATTCTATTGCACATTGAACAAATCTTATCTTTGATGAAGTATGGATATATTAGTAGCACAGTCTTCAAGAACTAATAATATAAAAAAATGTAGGCACATTGCTTGAAGTATTATGTACATTATCATAACATCTGGGAATTTTAGGAATATGCAGCATGTACTGCATAAGTCACTGAACAAAACAGTGACATCTGCTTCCATTAAAAAAAGCTTACACCCTCTGTGCATAAGAAAGGGTTATATATGATACTGACACGATACAGAAAAGTCAATGAAATTAAAAGAGTAAAATATTCGTCAGCATAACAGGACCACTCTCCAAATGAAGATTCTCAGTCAAAGGAAAGGGAGAATTTGAAGAAGGATTATGAGATAGAGCAATGATGTGGCTTTGAACAGAGACAAGTGAAACTCCTCACAAAACCAAGAATCAGCATAGAGGTATTGAAAATTTAGCAATTGCCTAATGTAACTATAATCATCACATTATCAAAATAAAATGAAAGATGATAGAATGGGGATAGTCCATGAAAGCCCTTCAGGTGAAGACAAACAGCTTATATTTGATGTGATAGCAAGAAATCAACCTCTGGAAGAATGCAAGGAGAGAAGTGACAGAGTCAAAACTAACCCAGAAAACAATTCCCTACCTAAAATACATGATACAATAAATTGTACTAATGCCTTTCACCTTCATATGGTATCCACAAGGTCTTCCATCTTTAACACTACAACAGGCATTAGCCTTTTATGCTTTGGAAATTTGGTAGTCCATGCTGTAGTTTTCTTTCCTGAATTAGCCATTAAACATGTCAGCAGAAATACAGAAAGACAAGAGTGAAGCTGCCTCTGTACCCTGGCTCTAACAGTTGGCTCCCAGCGTGTTTGGAAGCCCAGAAGACACCAAGATGTGACAGCTGCTGCCTCTCTCAAGCTGTCATGGCTCATGAGTGCCTTGCTGTAAAATATTCAAGATCTGCCCATTTGCAGTCTTCAGTTCATCTTTCAGCTAACAGACCAACCACATCCACCACCAAAGAAGCCTCTACTTCAACCGAAGGAGAAAAAAATACAAAATATGAGCTGATGCAACAAACTTCTGGATTTGAAAATGTCTGAAAAAGGCCCAGTCCACCTTCTTTTTGTGTCCTTTTTTTTCATTAAGAGCTTCGAATCCATTACATATTCTCAGAGGACAGTAAGCTAACAAGGCCAATGCAGTGGATCAGAGAAACAAAACTTGGTTCACTCTTTCAACGTCTTGTTTCATGGTTTTGGAGGTGAAAGTCATGTAATACATATATTTCCTCCTGAAAGTGGGGAAACGGTGGGAGGGAAGGGGCCTGGAAGGTCCAGCCAGTCCACAGCCTCAGGGACCTGGAGAGTTCCTGTGGACTGAATACAGCGGTTGCTAAAGCAGTTTTGGCAGCTCCCAGGCTCACATGGGTAGTGTGTAGCATCAATGTCACTGTTCTTGCTTTGCTGTTTGTATAAACGTAGCATTTAAAATCCTTAGGCTATTTTTAAATGTGCTGTACTACAAAAACATCACAGTGGAACAAAAATGACAACATGAAAATTACAATTTTCAAGTATTTTATCTTAATAAAATGAGACTTGAATAGAATTTTACAGGACAAAGACAAGATATTTGTTTGGTAGGTAGACCTATTCACTAAATTTTCAAGTTCTGTGATAACAGAAGGGCTATATCATAGCCTTTACCATAACCTCATAACATTTATCATAACCACAAATATCATAACCTTTTACAACAAAGAATACAGGAAAAACTAAATGCAATGTTTGCTAATTATACCCCGTATTATTTCAGAATTCCAAACAACCACCATCTCATTCAAAATTAGAAACTGTATTTACTACTCTACTATTGCCAAACAAAAGTTCCAGCTTAAACAAAAAACTGAAATACTGGTTACACAACCCACCTTAAAGTCTAAAGAAAGATTCTTATAAACTCAGGGGCAACACACTTTTCTGTTTTGTCAATGAACAGTAAAACTTCTACGGGCTTATTAGCAACACTGCTAAAAGCAACATTTTGATATCAGAACTCCAGAAATATTTAACAAAGAGACAGCCACTCTCATAGGAGCTTGAAGATTGAGTACAAGATGAAAAAAGGGTGGATACAGAAAGACATGGGCAGAGCAAGGTAACAATGAGATTCTGAGAGCAATTGCACCAGCTGCCCAATTACTATCGATTTTTCCATCATCACAGAAGTGGGTGTGAAGAAGGACAATTGTAATGACTTAATAG